GAGTATAGTATAAATCCTCTTATCATGATTACTTTTATCTCATACTTTTAATACACCCTCTCCATTTGTTGCAAATGCTCTAAAAGTCTGAATAAGACCATTTCATTTACCGGAACCGTCGGCGTCATGAAGCTGAGAGAGAGAGAGAGACGATCTCTACTTGAGAATAAACAAAACCCATCTCCATCGGCCAGGTTGTCGCTATTGCCAACGCTTCAACTCCCCTTCTTCACTCCAAAGAGCTTCACTACTAAAGCTTATGGCTCAGAGCATCTGTATTCACCTGTTCCTAAATATAGCACTCCTTAGCGGCTTTTCCATGTATAAAAAGGATTTTTAACTATGAAAAAATTTGTCGTTATAGGCTCAAAATTCCGTCGTTAAAACTTTTAACGACCATTTTTTCTTCGTCGTCAAGTGGTTGTTATTGCCTCCGTCGTTATTGGTTTTAACGACCAAGTTCGTCGTTAATAATTAACGACGATACAAAATCTTGTCGTTACGTATTAACGACAATATACTCGTCGTTACATATTAACGACAACATAATTCTTCATCGTTACATGGTAACGACAAGATCAGATATCAAACCATCATTATATATCAATAACGATAATCTTTTGATAATAACCCCCACAAGTGACAAGCCCCGCATAGATATATACTACCTCCGTCCCATTTATATTGGGACGGAAGAGGGTGACACGGTTATTAAGAAAAGTGAGTTTGTGTGGTTGATATTAATTGATAAAGTAAGAGTAAAGTAAGAATGATTTAGAGCCACACAAACCTTGTCAAATATGGTATGAGACAATTTAAGTGGGACTTCCCGAAATGGTAAAACGGGACAATATAAATGGGACGGAGGGAGTATTTCTTTAACAAATTATGCATCAAGTATTTAAAAAGTATTGATAATAATAACACAAAATGCACTAATTAGCCATTCACATTCACCAATAACATCTTTTTACAAAGTACACATCGAAGTTCAAATCTTCCAATATACGGAATGATCAAGAAACATCTTTTACATACGAATATAAAATTATACTATTGTAAATGGACGCCATAATCATCATCTACATAAATATTTTTTTTCAGAAAAAACACATTTTATTGAAATAAAATAAGAGTACAAAGAGGAAAGGAAAAAATAAAATAAAAGTACATGAAAGAAAATTATAAAGGAAAAAGATAACAAAAGGAAAAATAGCTAATCCCATGGGAAATCTCTGGATTGGGATCTAGTTGTCATGTTGTGACGCCTTTTGTTTTTTTGATATTTCCTGTAGTAAATCATTCAAAATCATAACTAGTATTTATGATTAACAAAATGAAAGAAGTGTTTTATAACCTAAAAGGCCATTAAATGCGTCCAAGCTCAATACAAAGAACATGTTCTGAGGTGAATTTTATGAATACCATAAAGTTCAAATACGTGTGTTGCAGCATGTGACTTTGGTAAAACCTTAGAGACACAAAGTGGAAACATAAGATTAACATCTGTAATGTATGGGAAATAATTAACAGTATACATATCTAGGAATTATATTTTTATTTACTTCTCAATTTAGGTATTTTTGTATTCCTTGTTTAATTTTCTCAGTTTATTCAAATATACTTTCATGTTGCCGGGCCTTTAAACTGGAAGAAGCTGATTAGTCTGAATTTTGAACTCACACAAACAAAAACACTTTGAGTCAATTCCCTAAATAGGACTAAAAAGTGGCAAAATTGCACAAATAGGACTACATTTTTTAAATTCCCTTAATAGGACTATTTATGTGTGTTTGGCCAAATATACCCTTGTAACTTGTGAAATGTTTTAATTAATAATAAAATCATACAAAAATAATAAAAATCGAAAAAAAATACTAAAAATCGTAAAAAGATAATAGAAAATTAATAAAAATATTTTTTAAAAAAATTAAAAAAAATATTTTTTTTAGAAAAAATTAAAAAAATCAAAAAAAAAATCGTAAAATTAAAAAAAAAACATTACCACCCCTGCCACCCCCAGCACCACCAGCTCCCATCACCGGAGAAAAATATGCCAACATTTTAAATAATGCCATAATGATGGCATATTCAATGAAAATGTTGGCATATTGAAGAGTAATTATGCCATCTTTTTGGCATTTTCAGAAAAAGATGGCATTTTTTTACCAAAAGTGGAAGAAATTTCACCAATCGGAGGTGGTGGTGCTGGGAGGCGGCGGATGGCGGTGGGAAATGTATCCATAATTTTTTTCATTTTTTTTATGGGTTTTTACTATTTTTTATTATTTTTTAAAAAAAAATTAAAAAAATAAAAATTAAATTTTTTATTTTATAAATGTTTTATAAATTTTTTATAATTTTTTTACGTTTTTTAAATATTTTTTACGTTTTTTTATGATTTTATTATGAATTAAAGCATTTCATTATGAATTAATACTCTTAGGGGTATTTAGGGTAGAAAATCTATGTTTAGTCCTATTTAGGGAATTTAAAAAGTAGTAGTCCTATTTGTGCTTTTTAGGAACTTATTAGTCCTATTTAGGACAATTTCCGAAACACTTTCTGTTTATAATCTGTGTTTCGTGATCAAACTGTTTAAAACTTTATTTAGAGAACTTCATAATTCTAATTTTATTCAACCAGTACAAACAAAGTCCAACGGTAAAGCCACTTAATCATCATTCGCATAGCCATTACTCTTGGCTTCCCAATAAAATATTGTAAAATTTTCAGCCCTCCGAATTACAGGTATATCATTTTTTATACCTTTTTTATACTCTGTATTTGTTATTTATAAAAAAACATACACATTGATGTTATAACTAAACAAGCCCAAGAATCTAGTGGTAAGTATTTCAACATTGATAGATGATGCTTTTTTGAGAAAATATAATGTTAAGCAAGTTAGTAAGTCATTTCTCATTTCTTTGTTTAGGTTTTCTTGCTGATTCTTCAACATATGGAGCGTCTATCCTTGTGCCATATTCACACAGGGTTTGTAAACAGAATGAAAATAATATTTTTAAGATCTATTGAAAAACAAATTAGAAGGGAGGAAACTAAAAAGTTCATTCATTTTCCTAGATGCATTCTTAAGTGTTGCTATTTTTTAATAGACCAAACCACACATTTTTTTGCACTTTTACGCTAGAAGGTAGACTATGATCAAGTTTGATTTTGTGTGTATGCTTTACTTCGATTAAGAGCCCGTTTGGAGAACTCTGTTTTTGGCTTATCAGGCTTATCAGCCAGCTTTTTCACCAAACACGTAACTTTTACTTCCGCACGCTGAATTGTGTAATAAGCCGAAAAAGTAAGGTTGGAGTTACTTTTCTGGCTGTATTGGCTGAAGTTACTGTAGAGGACCATTTTAGCTATTTTTACATATAATTTTTTATTTAATTTATTAATAAAATATATTTTTAAAATATTTTTTTCTTAAATCAGCAGAATCAGCCAAAACAGCCACTCCAGCCAGAATATCATAAATTTCAGCAGAATCAGCCAAAACAGCCGATTTTGGTGCTACCAAACGGGCTCTAAATATCTGTGATATGAAACACATTTTTTTCATTGAGTGACTGGTATAATTAGTGTACAGTGTATGTTCAACTAAATCTTCCGGATGCTTTGATTTCTTAGTGTAGGAAATTTCGAGATTTGGTTATTCCTTCGCTTTGTGTGCATCATACCATAGCCAGTGTGGCTGCTTTTATGATTTTATCAACTTTATAAAAACAAGAAAATGACATGTAATTGCCATTATGACTCTACTTCGGGCATGAGCTGATCTAGGGGGGTCACCTAGGCCCTGGCCCACTCCATATTTAGAACATGTTTTTGTTTTTTAGGTAAAAAATTTCTTGTAAAAAATTCCAAAAATATTCTTTGCACCAGCTTACTTCCATACCTGGTTCAGTCCCTGACTTCGTGAATTGAGAAACAAGTGTACAAAAATGTTCCTTTAAATGTAAACTTCCAGTCACTATCCTAAATTATTTTATCATGAGCTTGAGAAACTTGTTTCAAAAGACTATTAGCACTTGTTTAAAAAACAATCTCACTCGCCTATATGATTGAACTTACATTGTGGAGATGTGTATGATGATATTTATTGGAAACTATTGAACATGTAAGAAAAAGAGAAAGGTGTGTGAACGACGACACTTCTATTGGAGTTACATAAATAGTGAAGAGGCCGAGCTTCGAGCGTTTATTCGAGCTACAAATTGGGCGATGGATAAGGGCTATGTTGGTTTCAAGGTGGAGAGTGTGATGCCATGAATGCCCTGTTGAAGCTGTCTGATACGAATGAAAATGGGAAGTGGGATAGCCTAATCCGTTCGGTTTGCGATAAGGCTATCCAAAAAGGTATCACATTTGGGCACATTTTGAGGGATCCGGAGCCTCTACCTTACTTTAAAGTAAGGTAGGATGTCTTGCTTCTTCCGGGTCGTCCGATCAACAATTCAACGGTCGGAGATCTTGGGCTCCACTTTTTCGCTAATCTCGAGGCCAGCTTTGCTACTGTCCGACCGTCCGATGCGAAGGCACCGTCCTAGTCGGGCAGAGGATCCCAATCCCATTTTGAGGGAAGATAATTGGACAGCTCTTGCTCTTGCGGGCCCGGAATTTATTACGGGCCAATTTAGCTATTTTCACTCGGTGGATAGGCTACCAGATTTAGTCCGAAGATATTATTTAGCTGATTTCCTTGGTTATCCGTACTTTAGAAATTTGTTTTTATTTCCTAATGGGTTATATTAGGTCCAGCCCCCTCATTAGGTTATGTATTTTTCATTTCTTGTTTTTCTTTTCTACTGTTTGGGTTGTATTTCTTTGCGAGAGGTTTTGGTCTAATCCCCCTCTCATATGTATTTTCTCATTGATTACTAAAATCCGGTAAATATTCCTCGTCATTTACCCCACTGATTTTGGTGGTTTGCCTTCCGGGTTAAGAAAAAGTTACATAAATAGTAAGGACACTTGGGTCTATCCTGATTTGTTCTATAAGAACACCTTCCATCGGGTATCACTAGTCTCTTACTATACTCAATATAAAAGAGACTTAATATAGCCTCGAGATGAGACTTTATATTTGACAACAAAATCAAAACGTTCCTTAAAATGTTACACCTGATCAGGATTTCAAAACATTTAACAACTCTTAACATAGCAACGTACTTAAACAAAACATAATTGACAACCAGATATTCTCCATTAACCCATCCAAAACCTTGTCACCGGCTCCATACATTCTCTCAGGCCTCCGTTCTTCGATTACTACCTATACATGAGAACATAAGAGAATAGAATTCTCGTAAGCAATAATGCTTAGTATGTCACCATTTCTTCCACAATAACCTTTAGGGAATGTTAGCTAATCATAAATAGATACCAATGTTGAATATACCACACATATACTATTATACTATAACCACACATGATAACAACACATAAGCATTCATGTATCAAACACCAAGAGATTTCTTTATTCATCATTCTTTCTTCTTATCTTATTCCTTGACTTTATGGGCTTGTAGCTCGTGTCCTGGCCCCTCAGCGATGACCTTGGGTAGCTAGCCCGTAACCATCAGAAGCAACCCCAGGACTCCCCGCGGAAGGATGTCTCGCTACACTCAGCTCAAGTAGTTACTTGGGGGCATGACTACCTTGTAACATTACCGATCTTTCATTACTTTCATTATCATCATAACTTCCTTTCATTGTTGGTTCCATATGAATCCAACCCAAAATCAAACATAGAACTTGAAATTCACATATCTCATGTCATAAAATTTCAAGTATTCAAGAACATACATCAACTTCACGATATTCCATAACTTCACAATTAACACCACCTGTCAATAGGTACATATAACTTGGAATTCACATATCTCATGTCATACGATTTCAAGTCTCCAATCACATATATCATATTCACAATTATCTAATCTTCCACACTTTATTTAGAACTATCATGTATAGGTGGTGGTGACTTACCTAGTTCACGCGGAGTATTTGCCCTTGTGTGTGCGTGTATGGCGTCCACGAGCAACGGTTCTTCGATGAGCAACTATAATTATAAATACACAATTTTATACTTGATCAAACTTAAATTCATGTCTTTAGAAACATCCCTAGTGTCACGCCCCGGACCTACCCGGACACGTCAACAACCCGCCGTACAATACGAATAGTCAACCGCAGTCCAACACATTCATATTATACAAGGCGTCATGAATATCATTCACACATATAACATCCATAAACATACATAATAAACAATTGAATACGCAGCGGAAAACATTGTTTATAACAAAAGGGCCACACAGGGCAAACACGAGCACGCAGGCTCTAAAGTAAAATATCCATGAGCATGTTTATTAATGTTCTAAAACAGAATGGAGGAAGCACGAACCAAGTCTTCTCTCCGGGGAAATCACTCGGGCAACGAGCACAGGAAGCAAGCTCTAGCCTCAACCTGAAATGGTGGTGGGACGCCCCCGAAGGGGTCAGTACTCTATACGGCTATAAAGTACTGGTGTGGCAGGCATCTAATAGATATACAACAAGTATTTCAAACACAAGACCCTCAAGTAGGGTGATAGTACATTATGATTGTAACCCTAAGTTACCCCGTTTAAAAATATACTTACTTTATATAAAAGTCAAGTAGTCGGCCCGTGGGCCCGTTTTCATTTGGAAATCACCATTCCCAACCCCGTGGCTATAAGCCACGACAACTCCTAGAGTCCAACCCTAGTACATGACATTGTATTCTAGAGCTCGGCTCTACTACATCACCATACAACTCATATACCTCGGGTCAATTTCCTTACCTTGCGTTCTAGAGCTCGGCTCTATTACATCACCACGCAAGTCCTAGAGCTCGGCTCTAGCTATACAATACATAGACTCCAAGTCTACACCTTACATGCATTCTAGAGCTCGGCTCTATTACATCACCATGCATTAAGGTCCAATTCTCAAGCAACCCTATGCCTAGAATTGACATATCATTAAACTACTTTGGGTCATCCTTAAAGACTTCCCATAACTTAACCTTAGTTCCAAACTAAGTTGTTATATACACTTGAACTATATTCAAGTACCTTTCATACAATCCAATCCCTAGGATCAATTTAATCAACAAGTTCCAATAATCACTAACTAGTATTTCAATACTATTAAGATTATTGTTATCATACCATTATCCTCATTATTTGTAATTCTCTACATATTTATAATTATGTAGCAGCAACTTAAGTATTCAATCTCAATACACAAATATTCATTTATGTATCCACATAATTCATACATGAGCAAAATGCCCATTTTCACAAAATAGTTCATTTATACTCATTTAATCTCATATTATTCATACCTTCTCAAATCATTTCAAATTTCATTCCTTGGCAACTATATCAATATTTCATCAATATATAATCATCATAATCCATGAAAAATCATGATTTAAGCATTTAGGTAATCTCATGCTTAACCTACAAGTTGTAAGCAATTAGGTGTCAATCCTCACCTCAATTGAGCTTTAAACTTTCCCTTCTTGGTCCAATGGTCAAAGCTTTGGTCAAGGTGGATTTGGAACTGATTCCTTGCTCAAATATGAGTGTTAAACAGCCTCCTCAAAGTGCTAGTTCAACCCTTAATCGTTGATACGAAAACAGCCCCTAGAACGGGTGTTTTCCGGCTAACTCGATTCCTAGTTTTCCAATATTTGCATCTAGGTTAGTATCTAACCTTTACATCAATAAAATAACTTTATAAGGACATATTATACACTTGGATTAGTGTATAATAGTCTCACCAATCGTTCATATCATTTGGAGAATGAAAAGTAAAGCTTTGGGGTTTAAAACTCACTTTAGAGGATTAAATCCTCTCCTGCGAGGTTGCGTTTTTCTCGGACGATTTGGAAGCCTTCCACAACTCCGATTCCTGCAAACCAGACCTTCACGGATTCCTCGTCTTGAGAGCTTTCTGTGGGTATCTCACACGCCTTAATTGGATTTGTAAAACTCGAGATATCGACCAAACAGTCTCAGCACTCTCACAGCTCGAGTTCACAGACCTCTGCTCGTTCCAGCTCGATTTTTGTAAGATAAGCCTTCTCTCCTCGAACAAAGACCACTCAATTGAGATAATAGACTTCAAAGGCTATCCAAGGACATATTATTCACGTTGTTTGGTCGAGTATAGCTTCTATAATGAGAGGAGACAAACAGCACACCAATTTGTGCGAAAATAAGGATGGTGGCCCAAGTTTTGATTCCTATCAAGTCATGTGCAGCTCCCCTCCATTATGGACGGCCAAGGTAGGTCTTCTAACCCATTTTTATTTGTTTTGCAGGTACTAATATCATGTGGAGTGGTTCCCAATTGATCCCATTAAATTTGGGGTCCAAAATATCTACCAATACTTCCAAAAATGGGAAGATGGGTCCTATTGTTTTATCTTTGTCAAAGATGTCTTCTTGTACTCATCCTAATTTATTTAGAACAAGTCAACTTCCTAAATCACATTATTGATCTCCAATATGTGTAGGCTCATCCCAATAATTTACTTGATGGATATTTTAGAAGGAAAATCCTACTCCCATTATTTAGCTCAATAATGCCAAAGATGGGGTTATAGACATTTGTATTCTCCTTTAGTCCCCTGCTCCGGTGGTGCCCGGAAAGATCCTCCTCCGTGGTTCCCCCTTTTGTTGGAACCTTGGGAGCCATGACTCTCCCATTTTCTCTTCTTCGCCTCTTCGGCGTCTCTCTTCTTCCGTTCCTCCCACTGTTTCTCCCCTTTCAATGCTTGTTCAACCACTTGGGCGAAAGTCATATTAGGCAATTGCGTTGCCCTATCACGTATCTCCAAGTCAAGAGCGTCCCAAAAGTGGTTCACCATGCGGTTCTCGTCACAAGCATACTCCGGTATGTAGTCGGCGAGATCCCGGAACTTGTACTCCAGCTCCTTCACTGACATGTTACCCCCTTGGGTTAGGAGGGTGTATTCCCTCACCTTCTTATTCACCTCGAAATCAGAATAGTATTGGGCAAAGAACTCCCGTTGGAAGTCCTCCCAAACAACGGTCTCACCGTACTTGTTCTTGGTTCCATCCCACCACTTGGATGCCATCCCCTCGAGCAATCTTACCGCAATTCTCAGTTTGAGATTCGGCGTGATTTGCATGTCAAGGGCCGCTTCATTTAGCCTCTTGATCCATTGTGCTGCCACTGAAATGTCCCCTGCTCCATCAAAGGGTTTGCACCCCAAATCTCTTGCTTCTTTGATGTACTTGGAGATCCTTATGGTTGGACCTCCATCATTTTGGCCTCCACGTGGTTCCACATGGACTCTAGATGCACCATGACTTCCTCCTCGTGAAGCCATGCCCGAAGGTTGCCCAGCCCGGCGCCTTCGGCGTTCCCTCCTCTCTTCACGCTCACGGTGATATTGTTGGAGCAGCGCCTCTATTCTTGCTAGGGAGTCATTCCCCCCCTCTTCATCGCTCACATCATCGTCATCCCCTTCGTAAGGGGTCTCAACCGGCTCGGTCCCCGGTTGGTAAGTCGAGTCCTCATAGGACCAGTAGGTTTCACTTTCTGTGTCGACATGACCGTCACTCACGGTCTGTGATCGGCCTCCACGGCCAGCTCCTCTAGATGCCCTAGAGGTCCTTCGACTGCCCTGTCCAGTCTCCTCTGGTACACGGCCGGTCGGGTTTCTCCTAGTCATCCTGCCACCACGGTCCATTTCTGAAAGAAATTGGGAAAGAGTCGTTAGACTCGTATCAAATGTCAATTGACGGATAGGTACTTAAGACACATTTTGGCTCGAGTCACTGCCATACCAATTGCTAAGGGTACCATCTTAACAATTAGAGACCTTGCAACCCAAGTACCAAAAGCTCTCCAAGTACAAAACTTCTATGCTCATGGTTTTCAAAATCTTTTCAAAAAGAGAATTTTGAGACTTCATTATGAAATATCCATGAGCATGTTTATTAATGTTCTAAAACAGAATGGAGGAAGCACGAACCAAGTCTTCTCTCCGGGGAAATCACTCGGGCAACGAGCACAGGAAGCAAGCTCTAGCCTCAACCTGAAATGGTGGTGGGACGCCCCCGAAGGGGTCAGTACTCTATACGGCTATAAAGTACTGGTGTGGCAGGCATCTAATAGATATACAACAAGTATTTCAAACACAAGACCCTCAAGTAGGGTGATAGTACATTATGATTGTAACCCTAAGTTACCCCGTTTAAAAATATACTTACTTTATATAAAAGTCAAGTAGTCGGCCCGTGGGCCCGTTTTCATTTGGAAATCACCATTCCCAACCCCGTGGCTATAAGCCACGACAACTCCTAGAGTCCAACCCTAGTACATGACATTGTATTCTAGAGCTCGGCTCTACTACATCACCATACAACTCATATACCTCGGGTCAATTTCCTTACCTTGCGTTCTAGAGCTCGGCTCTATTACATCACCACGCAAGTCCTAGAGCTCGGCTCTAGCTATACAATACATAGACTCCAAGTCTACACCTTACATGCATTCTAGAGCTCGGCTCTATTACATCACCATGCATTAAGGTCCAATTCTCAAGCAACCCTATGCCTAGAATTGACATATCATTAAACTACTTTGGGTCATCCTTAAAGACTTCCCATAACTTAACCTTAGTTCCAAACTAAGTTGTTATATACACTTGAACTATATTCAAGTACCTTTCATACAATCCAATCCCTAGGATCAATTTAATCAACAAGTTCCAATAATCACTAACTAGTATTTCAATACTATTAAGATTATTGTTATCATACCATTATCCTCATTATTTGTAATTCTCTACATATTTATAATTATGTAGCAGCAACTTAAGTATTCAATCTCAATACACAAATATTCATTTATGTATCCACATAATTCATACATGAGCAAAATGCCCATTTTCACAAAATAGTTCATTTATACTCATTTAATCTCATATTATTCATACCTTCTCAAATCATTTCAAATTTCATTCCTTGGCAACTATATCAATATTTCATCAATATATAATCATCATAATCCATGAAAAATCATGATTTAAGCATTTAGGTAATCTCATGCTTAACCTACAAGTTGTAAGCAATTAGGTGTCAATCCTCACCTCAATTGAGCTTTAAACTTTCCCTTCTTGGTCCAATGGTCAAAGCTTTGGTCAAGGTGGATTTGGAACTGATTCCTTGCTCAAATATGAGTGTTAAACAGCCTCCTCAAAGTGCTAGTTCAACCCTTAATCGTTGATACGAAAACAGCCCCTAGAACGGGTGTTTTCCGGCTAACTCGATTCCTAGTTTTCCAATATTTGCATCTAGGTTAGTATCTAACCTTTACATCAATAAAATAACTTTATAAGGACATATTATACACTTGGATTAGTGTATAATAGTCTCACCAATCGTTCATATCATTTGGAGAATGAAAAGTAAAGCTTTGGGGTTTAAAACTCACTTTAGAGGATTAAATCCTCTCCTGCGAGGTTGCGTTTTTCTCGGACGATTTGGAAGCCTTCCACAACTCCGATTCCTGCAAACCAGACCTTCACGGATTCCTCGTCTTGAGAGCTTTCTGTGGGTATCTCACACGCCTTAATTGGATTTGTAAAACTCGAGATATCGACCAAACAGTCTCAGCACTCTCACAGCTCGAGTTCACAGACCTCTGCTCGTTCCAGCTCGATTTTTGTAAGATAAGCCTTCTCTCCTCGAACAAAGACCACTCAATTGAGATAATAGACTTCAAAGGCTATCCAAGGACATATTATTCACGTTGTTTGGTCGAGTATAGCTTCTATAATGAGAGGAGACAAACAGCACACCAATTTGTGCGAAAATAAGGATGGTGGCCCAAGTTTTGATTCCTATCAAGTCATGTGCAGCTCCCCTCCATTATGGACGGCCAAGGTAGGTCTTCTAACCCATTTTTATTTGTTTTGCAGGTACTAATATCATGTGGAGTGGTTCCCAATTGATCCCATTAAATTTGGGGTCCAAAATATCTACCAATACTTCCAAAAATGGGAAGATGGGTCCTATTGTTTTATCTTTGTCAAAGATGTCTTCTTGTACTCATCCTAATTTATTTAGAACAAGTCAACTTCCTAAATCACATTATTGATCTCCAATATGTGTAGGCTCATCCCAATAATTTACTTGATGGATATTTTAGAAGGAAAATCCTACTCCCATTATTTAGCTCAATAATGCCAAAGATGGGGTTATAGACATTTGTATTCTCCTTTAGTCATTCTTTCACTATTTTGGTAATGTTGGGCCTTTTTATTTATTAATAAGTCCCGAGTAAGTATTTGCGAAACCCGACACTAATGTACGAGTTTGAACAGTACGATATTCAACCATGCACTACGTAGAACATTGATCGTTTTACGAAATGTTTGGGAATCGGAAATCCAATACATAAGCTATGAATATTCAAATCAAATTTCCAAGGAAATTCGGGTGCGGTGTCACACCTAGACTTAAGAATGAGGGGAAGTTCCCAAATCAGCCCCTACCAGTGAGAACACTTCCAATTTCCTACATCAAATCGGGCATAGCTTCGGGGTGGCTGGATAACTAAGAATCGATTGAATTTCATGAATCAAGACTTATCATCAATTAACTAATTCTCATAACATCAAGGACTCCATATATCTATTTAGAATCAGCCACTAATCATTAAAATACTTCCCAAATTCTTTCATTAAAGTGAGCAAAACTTTGGGGTAGCTAAATAATCAAAACTTCACAAGGGTTTTAAATTAAGGATGAACAACAACTCCATAACAACCTTATTATTAAGAAAAGCCATTAATTTTCCTAGAATCAACCCTAAATCAATCAACCCTAGCAAAATCCACAACCAAGAATTCTAAGTCAAATTATAGAAGAAATATTTTATGTATGTGTGAAATCTTACCAATTTATGAATCACCTTGGAAAGAGTTTGGGATTGGTTTGTAGTGAGAAGGATGAGCAGGGATCGATTTTGGGTTGAAAAGGGGTTTTCTGCGCTTAAAAACGATTTTTGACCGTCCTGTCAAAAATCGACCGGACCGGCGCCGGTTTGGCCCTGACCGGCGCCGATTATGCTGCCATTTCCCCACCCAGACCTTCTGTTTTGGACCGGCGCCTGTTTGGGGCCCACCGGGTGCCGAAAACATCATTTTTCCCCCTAAACCGACCCCGATTGTTGCCGTCCACATTCTAGACCCCCGATGACATTTTAAGAACTTTGTCCATCATCCCATATTTTATTGGATGGAGGCAATGGTTTTCTTTTATGAAATTGTGTTCTCATTGTTTAGTCTAACTCAAATAGAATAAGTTTATGATTTATGAATACCAATTCAAGGTGAAAGATATATTTAAATATAAAACTAGTCATTACTAAGAATAAATAAATATTATTAAATTAAATCAAGAATACATTTGAATTATCAACACAAACAAAAATCAATCGTGATTGACATATTTTGCATACACATTTTTAAGAACTAGAGTTAATATTTTTAAAATTTAAAATCTAACTTAACAAATTTTAAAACTAAAAACTTATTCTATCTACATTTTATTAATAAACTCATAAAGCAAAACTCAAATTCACACCACTAAATTATATAATTATAAAATTCCTTGATATATCAAGGAATTTTACATTATATTTACAAAACTCAATAATTCGTTCGAAACACATGTTAAATTTTGTGTTACATCTGTAGTGCTTTTCTGGCCTTAGAATACTTTGTATTAGGGAAAATTCCCGAAATGGGACTAAAAACGTTTGAAAATTGTAAAATAGGACTGTCATGTTTTTATTCCCAAAATAGGAGTAATTACTGTTAAGTTTGGAAAATACTGTAATCTTTAAAGCCTGGTACTGCCAAAACATGGCAGTAATTAGTCCTATTTTGGGAATAAAAACATGATAGTCCTATTTTGGAATTTTCAAACGTTTTTAGTCCTATTTAAGGTAATTTCCCTTTGTATCACCGTATTGGCCTGTTAGATCTGGGAATGACTATTTTTAGGAATTGAATAACAACAATAAAAGTTTGAAAGACTAAATAAAAAAGGAACAAGGAGTGTGGCCGTGTAAGTTGGACTTAAGATTTTTTTCTTTTCTTTTTTTGTTGTTGTTGTGTAAGTTGGACTTGAAGCAGCCCACTATTTGAGTGTGTTATGTTAATGGGTCCTCAAAATATTTGAGGTAACCACTGCAGCCCACTATTTGAGTGTGTTATATTAATGGGTCCTCTATTATTTTCATTGGGGTACACCTTATTAGAGATCATCCACGGGCTGGGTTGGGCCACACCGGTCCAAAACTAATGAGTTCGGGTTAGGCTAGGTTTGGCTCAATATATAAAAATCAATTAAATAATGGATTGGGCCGGGCTAGGCTTTTGTAATAAAATTGTAACCCTAACCCGCATGTCACCCAAAGGGCTGGGCCTAGATGTGCTTACAAGAAATACACAAAAACTCTTCCCATTTTAAAATGCAATGTAACCAATTAAACGAGTGAAAAGAATTTATTACTTCAAAAAATGTAATAATAAAAGAATTAATTCCAAATATATAATCAAAATAAAAATAGTGGTAAAAATGTAACTCTAGTAACTTTAATGACTATAATTGTATTCAAATTTTACATCGTAGTGACTATATCACTTAATCATAATAACTTATAGTCACATTCTTGTCCATAGCTTTTTCATTAGTAATATTTTTGGAAAAACTTCATACCGGAGAAATTAAATGAAAGTTCGATCATCTATATCTTAATTTTTCGTAGTGCATTCTTGAAAAAGAGATGTACAAATAGCTAGAGAAACATCACGATTATTCTACTTTATCCAAATTCTCTAGCTCTACCACAAAATTTTATCACCTAACAGTCATCTAGAATTTCATTCTCCTATACTAATTTATCTACATATCTAAGTTTTTGGCAGTTCATGACTTTTATATGTTACTCCGTACTAATTATAAAATTTGTGTATTAATTTAATAATGTATAAAAGTGCTTCTGGACTGGGCTCAGTTGGGCTTAATAGGTTGGGGTAGGATGGGGCTTGACGGGCCGGGCCAATGGGCTGGGCAAGGTTTCAAATACTCTTCCCCCGTGCCCACCCCTTCAAATAGTGGGCTGGGCCGGCCCGTAAACCTTATGCAGTCCAGTTATTTATACTACATACGTTGTAGTATAAATAACAGTCCTCGTAAAAAACAGTCCGGTTATTTATACTACATACGTCCCGTTGAAAGGTTTTCATGGCAAAATGACACGAATATTTAGACAATAATTACATAAGGTAATTCTAGTATACTGTGAGAAATAATTTTAATAGATATGTAATATAATGAGTCTAGTATTGATAACTGTGATGTTATAAATGTATTATTTTAGGAAAAATTCACATGAATAATCCCACCTTTTTCAGTTCTTCCAATATTAATCCCAAGTATGAGTATTTCTAAAATAATCTCATTTATAGAGGGTATCTTCTCAAATTAAGCCCATGACCAGATAAAATTATTCTTCAGGTAACCCCAACACGTGTCTTAATCTGATTGGACTTTATACACATTTTTACTTTTCAATTTTTTCCCTTTCACTTTCTTTATTTCTCCTCATCCGCTCATACCTGTTTTCTCTTCGTTCCTTTTCAATTCTTTTTCTTCATCTCTTTCATTCATTGGATCTCTTCTTTCGTCCAGTTTTCTTAATTTCTTTTACACCTCTGGATATTCATTCATCTAATTAAAGGGATGAATGGAAGAATAAGTCAATAAACTGGCAGCAGCTCCAAGATGAACCATTGGGTGGAAAACTACTCCGGCAAAGATCGACCTCAGGACCTTTATTCGACCATTCCATTAGAAGCAGAATTAGATGCCCTCTTTTTCGCCATATATTAGTCGATACCAGAAGCAGGATATTCCTCTGTTCCATATTTAACGAGAGAGATGACTTCAAGCAGTGAAGGTGCCCACCGTCTTTTCCGCCGCCACCTTCCTTTTAGCCGGCGAATCGGCGATTGGAATTGGAATTGATTCAAGAGGGAGATGAAAGTGCCGGCAACAACTTCCTTTCCGTGTGGATTGAACTACTCTTGCGCTCAAAGATGAATTATGTAGAGGATGATGAACACTTGTTCCATACTTCCATGTCTTCTCCACTGATAAGGGTGCAGATGGATGACCACGGGGATCAATGAAGTGGATTCAGATTTCCGATGCAGATCAATTTTTTTGTTTTTAATGTTTTTTACCGGTTTAGAAGGTTGTAGGTGACCTGGATCAATGGTGGAAGACCATGTATGAAATTGAGATTATTTTAGAAATATTCATATTTGGGATTAATATTGGAAGAACCTAAAAAGGTGGGATTATTCATGTGAATTTTTCCTTATTTTTAATATTTAATGATTAAATTGTCATTTAAGATTGTTACTCCCTCCGTTCTTTAATAAAAGTTCTTCTTTCCTTTTTGGGACGTTTTTTTTATTTGTCCTCCTTTCCATTTAAGGAAAGTTTTTACTTTAAATATACCTTTATACCCCCACTTTTATTACCATTACCCCTTTCTCTTTCCTACTTTTTCATTTACCCACTACTCATTACACCTTTTACACTACCCCTACTATTTTCCTCTTAAAACCCGTGCCAAAGCCTAAAAGGACTTATATTAAAGAACAGAGGG